GTAAACACGAGTGGGCTCAACTTTAAGGCCCCGAAGTTCACCATGCCCAGTTTCAACCTGCCTCCGATCACCGCTCCGGACGCAGATCTGGATCTTTCAGGAGACATTGCCGTTCCTAACGTCAGCGCCGATGTCAAAACGCCGGATGTGAACTTCAGCGCTCCAGGTGTCAATGTAAAAGCTCCAAACTTAGACCTAAACGGGCCCAAGGTTAACGTGAACGGCCCAGATTTGAACGCAGAAGCCCCTGATTTGAACATATATGCTCCTCACGGTGGAATCAAATGGCCTCATCTGAAAAAGAAAGCCAAAGTTAAAATCCCAGACGCTAGTTTAGACGTAGAGGGACCTAAAGTAGACGCTCCGAAAGTCGACGCGAAACTGGACGGTGATTTGGGAGGGGGGAGGAGCTGGCCACATCTGAGGCTGAAGAAACCGAAAGGGCCCAAACTCGATGTAGACGCAGACGCCGATCTGAACTTAAGCGCTCCCAAACTCGAAACAAACCTGGAAGCGCCAAATGCAGATTTAGATCTTCCAGATGCTGAGATTAAATGTCCAGATGTAACCATGGAGAAGCATGCAGGCATAAACTGGCCGCATTTGAATTGGAAAAAACCCAAAATGCCAAAAGCTGATCTGAAAGCGGATATTAACCCGCCAGACGCAGACCTCTCACTCCCCAAAATCGACGGCGAATTAAACGGAGCAAAACTTGACGTAGATCTACCAAAAGCCGATCTCGACGCTAAAGTTGATGGTCCAAAAATAAAATTCCCAACGCTGAAAAAGCCCAAGTTTAAGATTTCAGGTCCCGACGTTAAAACTCCAGAACTTGACACGGATTTGACAGCGGATTTGCCCGACGCAAATGTTACCGTAGATTTACCGAAAGCTGATTTAGACGTGAACGCGCCAAAACTAGATGCAGACATAGAGGGACCTGACGTCAAAACAAAATGGTGGAAGAAATTTGGAACTTGGAAGAAAAAAGACATAGACATAGACGCGGATGCAAAATTGCCAAACATCGACGGAGATGTTAAAATCGACACGCCGGACATTAACGCCGATTTGAAAGCTCCGAGCGTTGACATAGATACGCCAGATGTTGACATAGGCACACCAAAAGGAGGTATAAAATTCCCAAAACTCAAACTGCCGAAGGCTAAGGCCAAAGTGAAGACCCCTGATATCGACGGAGATTTTAGCGCGAATGTTGACGCCCCAAATTTGGAACTGAACGCGCCGGATTTGAACCTAAACGGAAATCTAGGCACGCCAGATGTTGACGTTAACTTACCGAAAGCAGACCTGAACGCGGAATTACCAACGGCTGACGCTAAAATTAAGTCTCCGAAAATGAAGTGGTTTAAGTTTGGGCACACCGGTCCGAGGGTGAAAGCAGACGCCGATGTGAAAGCGCCGAACATCGACGCAGACTTAAACGCGCCAAATCTGAGCCTGGATTTGCCCGACGGTAAAATCGACGGGCCAGATTTGGACCTCAACTTGAACGCGCCCAAAATTGATGCAGATTTGAAGGCGCCGAAGCTAGAAACCGGATCTCCAGATATCGGCGGGAAAATTAAGTTTCCAAAGATGAAATGGCCAAAACCGATCCACAAAACGCCGAGTTTAGACGTGGACGCTAGTTTGCCCAAAGCGGATTTGTCAGGTCCAGATCTGAGCATAAGAACCCCTGAGGTGGATCTGGACGCGCCTAAACTCGAAGGAGGACTCAGCGCTCCAGACCTGGATTTAAACGCACCAAACGTAGATCTTAAAGGTCCAGATCTTGACGCTGACGCTCCGTCTGGAAAATTCAAACTGCCGAAGCTAAAATGGCCAAAACCTAAATCTATTGACGCAGATCTGGAAGCACCAGATTTGAACGTGAAGGCTCCAGATCTTAACCTTGACGCTCCCAAATTAGATGCGGATATAAGTGCGCCGGATTTGAGTTTAAACGCGCCAAATGTAGATGTTAAAACTCCTGATCTTGACCTTGATGCTCCTTCTGGAAAATTCAAACTGCCGAAGCTAAAATGGCAGAGAACGAAAACGATCGACGCAGATTTGGACGTGGGAACTCCAGATGTCGATGTAAACGCGCCAGATTTGAACCTTCAGGCGCCCAAACTCGAAGGAGAATTCAGTGCTCCTGATTTAGCCTTAAATGCACCTAAAGTAGACGCTGATCTTGACGCTCCAAAATTCAAATTACCAAAAATAAAATGGCCGAAACACAAAACTAACATCGATGCGGATCTGGAAGCTCCCGATTTGAGCGTCAAGTCCCCTGATCTCAAACTAGACGCACCAGATATTGACGGTAAATTTTCAGCGCCGGATTTGAGTTTATCTGCACCAAACGTTGACCTAGAAGCACCAGATTTAAACGTAGACACTCCAAAGGTCGACTTCAAACCACCAGCAGGGGGCATCAAACTTCCCTCGTTCAATTTACCAAAATTTAACTTGGGAAAACCCAAAGTTGACGGAGGTTTGAACGTCGATACGCCTGATTTTGATATAAATTCTCCAAAAACAAATATCGATCTTCCAAATTTGTCCGGTCCAAATCTTGATGCTGATTTGGATGCAGGATTTTCGGCTCCAAAATTCAACGCAAATCTTCCATCTTTAAGAAGCCCTGATCTTGATTTGAGTTTACCCAAAGCGGAAGTAAATGCTCCAGGTTTCTCTCTTCCCAAAGCGAGCATAGGCGGACCAAATCTCGATCTGAACGCTCCCGACATCGACGCAAACCTGTCAGCTCCAAAACTAAACGCTGACCTGAAGTCGCCTGATCTTTCGCTCCCGTCCGCAGACCTTAGAGCCGACGTATCCGCTCCGAACGTCGACGTAAAAGCGCCGAACGTCGACACAACTCTCGGCGATTTCAAACTCCCTCACTTCAAAATGCCCTCGCTGAGTCTGTCCAGTCCCGACGTCGAGACCCCGAGCGTTGACACTTCGCTCAACGCCGGTTTAGATGCTCCTAAGGTGGACCTGAGTCTGCCCTCTGCTGGTGCAAACGTGTCCGCACCTTCTGTAGATGTTAAAGCTCCAACGTTTGAAGCGAACCCGCCGGACATCGACGCTAAAGTAGATGCTGAGAAGCCCAAACTGAACTTTAAGATTCCGAAACTTTTTGGCAAATCAAAAAGCACGGACGTAGATTTGAACGCCGACTTACCCAAAGTAGAAGGAGAAATTAACGCTCCTGAATTTAAAGCGAACGTTGACGCCGGCGTAGACGCAGAGGCGAAAGGTTCGAAGCTGAAATGGCCGTTTAAGTGGGGTTTAAAGTCCAACGAAGACGAAGGGAGCGGCGCCGAGTCGGACCTAGAAATCGCCGACACCGAAGTGGAGGTCCCCGCTTTCGTTTTCCACAAATTACCCGCGAGTCAGAGGGACAGTTTCGGAATCATGGATAGTCTGAGCATTGCGAGTCGCGACATTGAAAACAAAGATTTCATAGTCAGCAAAGGAATCCGTCTCCCTTACTTAAACACCACGGCCAAAACGGGAGAGAAGGTGGACATCTCGGAGCGTCTGAAGTTGGCGAGGGAGAAATCGTCGTCGGTTAGCACGTCGCCCACGGATTCGACCGTGGATCTGAACCTGGGCGGAGGGGGGGCCGGCGTCGGAGCGGAGGGCGGCGGCGGCGTGGGAGGGTCCGTTTTGGGTTTGATAAGTCCGAGCGACAGCACAGACGAGGACAAGAAGCTCTCTGTGGGGCTCACAAACATGCTCGGGCTGAACATCGAGTGATCGGGTCGGCGAACGTTTGAGAAGGGAACGGAAAATGAAAAGAATGGGGCGGTTTTAGGAAAGTGAGCAAAGAACGCGAGACTTTAAGGGTTTTAAAGAATCTAAATGTGGTCAGGTTTGGTAAAAGGTGAGAGGAAAGTTGTTTTAGAGCTTTTTTTTTATATATATATTTTTGCCCCATATTAACGCTATTATTTACCTTAAGTATAAAAGAAGTTATGGTCATTTTTAAGATCCTATATTTTGTTAAATGTTCTTTTTTTTTAACCACTTTTTGTGTTTGTTTAATCCCATTTTGACCTTTTAACCAATATATTAAGGTGTAAAACAGGAAAAACATTTACAAAATTCTCCAAAATACTTAATTCTGGACTTGGTTGTTCAATTTTAAAGAGGAAGTGTCCTGCAACATCAACTTTTACCACAGTGAATAAGTGTAATACTCCCTCTTTAATACCATAAAACCAAATAAATCCCTTTTTAAAACTTTATTTTTTAAAACTTACACTGCAGATTGTAAATACGAGCACAGTTTTGAACCATCGATCACCGACAAAACAAACCTTTTATTTTATTATCTGAGTATTTGTTTATTATGTTTATTATTATTTGTTTAAATGTAAAAATCCTTTTTCACATCGTCTGAAGTGTCTCGCTGGAGGAACTTCAGGTTCATGGTTTTCTGTGTAAATGTGTGTGTGTGTGTGTGTGTAAATGTGTGTGTGTGTGTGTGTGTGTGTGTGTGTGTGTGTGTGTGTTATATTCTCCAACAGTTTCATAAATCTGTCCCATCACCAAATCTTCAACCAACAAAGGAGAAACATTCTTCCGTCGCTGAACGTTTCTCTGATCTGATCAAGATTTTAAAACTTACATCATCAGGTTCTTTATGTTGTTTTCAGATTTATGCTTCTGAGACGCTTCATTCTCGTTTATTTTTTAGATAATTTGTCAAGTAAAAGGATCTTGCAGCACGACCACGACGTTTAAGTCATTTTCAGATAGATTGAAGTGTTTATATTTTATATTCTGCCAAATTTGTCCAAGCTTTTTTTTGCAGTGATGAAGAATTTATCCAAAAGAAGAAAAAGCAAAACTTAAAGGAAACAACAAGCCACATTAGCAGAGTAGTGAAGTTTACTTTTAAAATGTAATCCCCTACAGATTACAGATTACACACCCCAACATGTAGTTTGTAACATAATCCATTAAATGACTTA